TTTTTTTTTTTTTTTTTTTTTTTTTTTTTTGTTGTCAAAACAACTAAATTTGTGCAAAAACATGAAAAAAATACAATCTTTATGTCAGGATTTGCTGTATTTATTTTTTTAATTAAAATTCCTGAATTTCTTTTCTGGGAATTAGCGGGGAGGAAAAATTTGATAGCATTTGGAGCTGATTTGAGGTGATTGAATTGGAAATTTCAGCTGAAAATCGAAAAAGAACACAACTATCCAATAGTATACTGCGACGGTATACAATATGATGTAGGAGTATATAGCTATATTGCAACATTACACTATTATAGTTTACACTATATTGCAATGATATATTGTAATAATCGAAGAAGAACACAGTTACCTAACAGTATACCGCTACAATATACAATATATTATAGGCGTATATAGTTATACTGCAACAGTATACTATTATAGTATACAATATATTGTTATAGTATACTATAACAATATGCAATATACTGTAACAGTATGATGTAATAGTATACAATATACTATAATAGTATACTTATTACCCGTAAATTCACTTGCCTTTTCCTTTTTAATTTGCTTTAAGTTTTTACCCAGTGTGAGGAGCAAATTGAAAATGCAAAAAATAAAATAAAATATTATAGTATGCTATATAATGTAACGGTATACTCTTACAATTAGATCCTTTTAGAATTTTTTGAAATTTTTATTGACAAGTGATATTATTTCAGTTTAATAATTGAATTAATTTTTTTTAACTCTTTGCGTACAATTATATACCATGTTGGTCTAGCTATATACTATACCGATATCATATGTTAGTTAATATTTTTGATTGTATTAGCTACATTTAATTGGTACACAATTTGATTTTTTTTTAGTAATAATATTAAAAAAAATAATAAAAAATAGTGAAAACAGTAAATGAAATTAGATTATGAAGAGAAAAAGAATATAAAAAAAAAGAAGTTAAATGAAATTAGAAAAGGAAAAAATTAAAAAATAAGAAGAAAACGAGTAAAAAGAAAAGGAGAAAAGAAAAAAAAAAGAAGAAAAAAAGAAAAAGAAAAGAAGCATAGAAATAAAAATGAATTGGATAATAAAGAAAAAATTTCCCACAGAAACTATTATGGGTAGGAAATGTAATTAGTTTATGGGTAGAAAAACAAATAGATAGACAAGGATAAATAGTTTTGTTTTTGTGGGTAACTGTGTCAAAACCTCATAATAAGGATTTTATTAAAAATAATGGTTTACAAGCCTAATTTGTTGGACAATAGGCCATGACTTCATTTGATGTGTCTAAAAGAATTTTTTTTGATAAGTTTAAAAGGTTGTATATATGTTTTCAGCCATTAACCCAAATACTAAAAGGCAAGAGTTTAATCAAAAAAGCATGTGGGTCAATTTGCAAGCTATGGTTGTTTTGATATGCTTTTATGTATTTTATTTCGCTACACATAAATAGTTGTGGCAAAATGGTTAAATGAAAATAGTTTAGCACTCATATTATTTATTAAAAAATGGGTTGGATAATGAACTTTTTAAAAATGGGTCAAATAATCTATTTAGAATATGGATAACCAATAGATAACTAATGCGTTTTACTTTTACACTTGTAAAGCCTCAAATAGGGGGTTCCTCAAGTTTGGAAGACTAGAAATTCTCCCAAAAGTGATCATATTCAAGAAGTCATGGTTAATATGGTTACTCATATTATCCGTCGGTTAACCCATTTTTCATCCGAATTAAATATGGGTCGGGTCGGATAATTTATCCGTTTTTTCATTACCTATTTTCGACCCATCTAATATCCGACCCGACCCGACCCGCCCATTTGCCACCCCTACACATAAGTTAATAAATATACTACAAGTTGGTACATGGAGTTAATACTTACTTTATTCAACATATAGAATATATTGCAGTAATATAATTTTATTTAGCACATTCACATAGAATAGTTTATTTAACACATCCTGCACTTTTGTTACTAAAATTGTTAAAGCAAGTACTATCAACTTACCTTGAAACTTATAATCTAACATGTAGATTGAACCCCTTTTCACTTAAGTAACTAGGTAGAAATACAACTATGATTGCAAGCTAAAGAAGGAAAAAATTAAATTAATTTCTATACAAGTAATAGATACTTGCAGTATAGATAATAAAGTTACAAAATTGTACATTTGTGTTTTTTCCTATTTTGCTCCTTGGATTTCCTTTATATATCCACTTGCATTCACTTCAAAAATGCAAATTGAAATTACTAGAGAAAATGACTTCTTCTTTTGCTTCATATTTCCTTCTTCTAGCAATTGTTGCAAACTTATTCTACTTCAAAATCTGTTTATGTGTAGATGCCGATGGCGAGGCACTGATAGCAGGTATATGTAGAAAAGTACAAGATCCTACATTCTGTTTGAATACTTTCCACCAAAATATACCTAATCATCCATATACTCCTACTGAAGTAACACGAGTTGCTATTAGCCAATCATTACAACATGCTACTGACAATCGCATTTTCATAGAGACATCAAAAGAAAATTCAACAGACACAGAAATCCAGAACTTATACGCTATTTGTGATAGTGGCTATGGATTTTTGTCAACCGAGCTTCAAGATGCTAGCCTATCATTAGCTCAACAAAATTATAATGCCTTGGAAAATTCACTTTCCAAGTGTCCTAAATTTGTGAGCGATTGTCACAATGTATTTGGTGACAAGACAACTCCTGAATTGTTGGACAGGAATAGAAAACAACTAGATCTTGTATTAATGGCAAATTTTGCTGAAAGTCTTATTAAAAAATAAATGTTCTTAAGTGATAGTTGGAAGTAACTTTCCTTTCTTGAAAGTTAGCAGCTAATAATGAGGAAAGAAATCATTCAATAAAATCATTCTTGTTTCTCCATTGACTTACTTCATGTTGATTTAAGCTTATCATTTTCATTTCAGCATTGGCATATTCATGTAAACTACTTGTAAAAAAAATCCAACTACTCATTTGTTACAATTTTACTATCTTATTTTTTTTCTTTTTTCCAGAATGCAACCTCAAAACAACGTCGTTTTGAGGTCGTGATCTTTTCATTGAAAAATGAATGGACAAAATGAGGGTATTTTTCTTTCTAAAAAATGTAAATCTACCTGGAAACCAAGCAAATCCCAAATAGTCTTTAAAACAAGTCTAGAACTTGAAATGGTGATTCAAAAGTTGTTCAATGAAATGAAATGAAAAGAATCTTCATTACCCTGATTGCATAATTGAGAAATAAGTTCAATTAGTACAACAAAAGATAAGAATTATCAAGCATGCTCTTATATCCTCCCAATAATCTATACTCAAAACAACATTTACAATTAATTCGATCGAGTTTAGGTCAAGATTCCTTTAATGCAGATAATGCATCCTTTGTTGCTGCAGATATCACAGCATCTGAAGCATTTGGTAAATAATAGTACTTCCCTGTGCAACCAACAGTTCAGAAAACTTGTTACATATTGTAGCATTTGGAAGAATTACATGAAACAAAACTAGTAGACGAGTAGGCGACAAACCTTGAGCTACTCTCGCGATTTCTTTCGCAAAACCAGTAGAAACAAACTTATTTTCTGTATCTATGACGAGGAGAGACATTCCTGTTTTGTATATTTTACCAGCCACCTCGAGAATCTCATCCTACAAAAGCATTGGAATAAACCTTCAATAAGTTGTGACACTGAAAAACATGACGACTTGTTACTCTATATGCCTTTATACACAGGTAAAGATGATCTTTTATGACTTTTAACCTTACATTTGAGCACATGGTTTTGAGTCTCATAGAAATCTCAAACTCAAGTACACCCCTTTGTTGCTTCAAAACCTAAAATTAGCCTAATTTGGGCCTTTAAGGTGAAATAGTTGATGCCACTAATGCTTTCCATTTGATATAAACTTAGAGGAAACGGTTATTAGTTCGTTAGCTTGAATATTCAAATATGTAAAGGAAATCATATAGCCAAGGCGATCTGTTTCTTCCAGCATTCACTTTGACATAAACACAAGGCAAGTCCTGTAAGTCTTAGAACATTGAAAAGTCATTTATCTTGTGCCGGAAATATGAGGTATAGTGTAACTTTGAAGTAGGCTTTTCTGATTTCAAGTCAAAGTAAGTAACATTAATTCAAGTAGTGTAGCAAGGCATTTAAAGGATGTCAATTTGGTTATTTACCTTCAGCTCTTGGGAAGAAGGTCTGGGTGCATCAGAAGCTTCAGCTTCAGGGTCTGTGGATCTTTTAAGAGAGATGTTAGCTCTACCATCAGTAATTGCAACAATCATGATACGTCCAACATCACCACTCTTTTCTGCATTCATTCCAACTCTAACTGCCTGAAAAAATTTAGCCAAAGAAAATTCTTTTAGCCAAAGCTGCAGCAATCTATATATTAGTTAGAAGCGAAAGGTAGAATGAAAGAATGTGAGCCTTCCGCACAGACGAGTAAAGTCGAGTTGGTTTGACCTGGAGGTCATGTGACCAAGTTTTAAAAGAGCCTTTCGCCAGTCATGGACGAGGCTATGTATGTTGAAGCCTCGATATACCAAGCAATTGGGGAGCCTTGTGCATTGGCTGTTATAGGAATTACTTTCCACAACATACAATTGACTCTCTAGAATCGATAGTCCCAAGAGATGGAAAGGCTATCGGATAGTAGACATTATTTATGAGGCTTTTACTGTTAGCAACAAAAACTTTAAGTTTCTAATAAGAACTTGGTATGTAAGACTCCATTAAACCAATATTTTAGCAACTCTTAGTATATCTAGTGTGGAATAATAACAGAAGTCTACACGAAGTTCATAGATGAAAAACTTCAAGCTACAAAGAAAACAAACGATAATATTATTTACGGAACTTGGAAATAAAACAGGGAAAAGCGCTTTTCAGTATACTGTTTAATAGGTAGAGAACTTACTGTTAGAATGCCGCATGATGTTGGTCATGGTGAATACTTTGTGAAATATTAACCATACCAGTCTTAGAAAGATTAGACAGCTTATATAGGGAGGCGAAAACCAAATTTGAAAAAGATGCTTCCATAATTAATTACCCCTAGGACACAGCCTCATAGCATCGGTAAGAGAGGCATTCATTGGAGATTGCTGCGGATGATGGAATGATAGCTTGAGGTTTCAAGAGAAATTAAGAAACTCTTAAAGACAGTACATGTTAGAAAAAAATTGTGAAGCTGATCACCAGTGCCTTACAGGAATCCCAACTGATTCAAGCTAAAAGTTTGTTTTGCAGAACATCCATTTCGTATCTTGCTTAACATGGAAATGGGGAAAAAATGCCACATTTAACTCTTAATTGAATTCCAACTAACACGACTCTATGCATAACTTATCTAAACTGAACTACAAACCAACATTCTAAGACATCTTTACATGTTCGATTTTTACTTTGTGTACTATTCTTTGTTTCCAGGTTAATCCATTAGTAAAAGTTTAGAATCTAGAAAGGCATTAATCAATTAAATAATTATTTTCTTCTCAAGTTTTCAAATTTTTCTTTCAAGCATACTTCATTTAAGCTTATTTTGTTTGCCTATTCAACCAAGATCATCTGAATGGAGCCAATTCTTCTAAATTCTGGAAATAAAGATATGTGTTCTGTAAGTATAAACTAAAGAAATTACCATCACGCAGCAGGCTAAATAAAATTGAAGAAAAAGTCCTAGATCATCAGCACTAGAAACTGATCTATTCACATACCGTCGTAAGCCCATGAGCAAGGGGAGAACCCCCTCCACAGGGAAGTCTCTCAAGACGATTTCTTGCCATCGATATTGACCTAGAAGGTGGCAACAAAACTTCAGCAGCATCTCCGCGGAAGGGAATGATACAGACCTATTCAAAGTTTATCATAAAAAATGAGTTTTCTATGGTCTCCTAATTCCTGACGAGACAAGCACATAGTTAGATACCATCAGCTATAATTAACCAATTAGGAAAACAATGAGCTTGAGAAAAGGATTTAAGTAGTTAACTAAAGGCACCTTTACTTATGTTTAGAAAACTAAAGTAACCGCTTAAGGTATATGCAAAAAGTGTGTATCCCAACAATTCACTACACGGGCAAGAGCATGAGATTTACTTTTGTATTACAGTCTTTTATAAGCTGGCTGTTTCAGATCACTTACTAGCTGCATTCCATTTTAATATCATTCTTTTACTCTTTTGATCTTTTGCAAGTGAAATAGAACACCAAGGACGTATCAACTGACTAAATTATTCAGGGCTCAGACCTGTTATGAAGTTAGACTATAAATTCTTAACCCTTTTGTATGGGAATTTTATCTAGCTTAATGAGGTGATTAGTTTATAAAACATAAATTCTATGTTATGCAATTCCGACTAACCCGGGTTAGACCCAGAAAGAGTCCTCCTGTTCAAATATAACAAACGCCTATATGACAATTCTTGCCTGTTCAAATATAACCAAGTCCTACAGAATAATTGTAAGGATAAAAGCTGAAGTTGACTATGAAAAATGAGAATGGTTCATCTTGTGGTTCATCAATTTTTTTTAAGGGATCACCCACTCTCACCTCAATGTTTGTTAGTTTTCTCTTTTCTCCCATTTTTACCCTAAATGGTCAACTAATTTACTATACTAGGACTCAAGGCTTAGTTGATATATGACAAAGCAAAACATTTTTTGCTGCCGAAGGACAGAGAAAGATTTTGTTACAGAAAGGAATGTAGTAGTAAATGGCCAAATATCACATTTACTGTCAACAGTATACAATACTTAGATTAATGATAGTTGACCTGATCTCTGCTTGTATAACTCTCTGCAAGTAGTTTAAGTGCTGCTCCTTTGGCATTCTGCATTCTATTCAGTGCCATACTCCCACTAGCGTCAACTACGAATATCACCTGAAAGACACAAATTCGTGGAGAAAAAGATAAATTTAATACTTCGTATAGTTGTGTTGTTTCCTTCGGAATAGTTCTAAAATAACATAACCATGGTTCTAAACATATAATTTGCTCAATAACCACAAATTTACTATCAAATATTAAACTTTTATTTAACAACTAAGGTAACAAAGGCTAGCTTTAAGTAGTCTAGTCAGAACTCAGAATAGAAGTTCTATCCATATTGTGATCAAAGTTTTCAAGATCTGCAAGTTAGAATGAACAATATCAATATCATAACCATGATTCTCAATGTACCATTTGCTCATTAACTACAAATTTTATATCAAATAGCAGACTTGAAATATCAATTAGGGCAGAATAGGCCAGATTTAAGAAGCTTCTATCCATACTGCGATTGAAGTTATCAAGATCTGCAAGTCTCAGTGAAAAATATCAAGTATGAAGTTCCAATTTATGTTTCATCATGCCAATCTCTTGCTTCTTTTGCATGGTGGCAGATGAAAGGCCAAGTTTTGTGCATTTAGGAAGATTAAGAATTATAAGAATGTTTATTTTATTTGTTCTTTATCGAAAAATAATTATAAGGAATGTTGACATATAAGTACCTAAACAAGAAAATAATTAAAACAGAACAGATCTAGACTTCAAGGAGGTAAAGGAAAAAAAATCTCTACCAGAGCTCCGGCTTTGCGTGCCATTCTTTTGGCTCTCATGTCAGTTTTCTCTACATAAACCTTGCGAGTTTTTTGGATGTCCTTTGCTCTTCGTAACTTCTGATATGGTGCCGCTGCTCTTAGAGTTGCATCAACTGCCAATCTCTTCACTGGACCCTGTGTAGGTCAAACATCCTTGTTAGAAGAGACAACCAAACACTAGTTTGATGAATGATAAATCGTTTGTTGTTTACTGTAACCATGTTAATTTGATCAATTCTGCAATGGAAATCAATAACCTAACGAAACTTCAGAATAAAGGGAAAGAACCAGTAACCTTTGGAAGCATTGGCTTTATATATCGACCTCTATCTTCGGAAAAGATGACATTCTTTGCTCGTCCAGCTTTTCCTTTGCGTCTTTGTGCTTGTTGTGCAAAGAAGAGAAGTTTTTCATCCACTAAACCACCTTCCGCATCAAAAATAAACTCATCAGGGACTTGTGGCTGTTGCTGTTCATTTTCCTCATCTTTCTCATCCTGTTAACAAATTAAAAAGTCTGGTCAAAGAAATCTAACATTCCCCGCCCCTCCCCTTTCAGACTCTTGTTGGTTGGGCCAGAAGGGAGAAAGTAGGTAATGAAACCCCAAAAAAAGAAAGAAAAAGAGGAAAGTGGAGAGAAAAACATTCTTTTCTCAACAAACCTCTTGATCTTCTTCTTCTTTTTCTTCTTCTTCATTCTGCTCTTCTGAAGAATCTTGATTTTGGGGAGGG